AGGCCCCACAGCCTTTCTCGTAAGTAAAAATCATCCCGTATTAGTATAAGAGGCGAGCCGATATGATGCGACAGCGAGTTGTTGGTTCATGGATAAACTTCAATAACCTGAATATACTTTTGATGACTATGTAATTTAACACAATTTAAAAATTAGTTTAAAAAATTGAATTTTCACCCTACTAAAATTTCTGCCCGGGAATGTATCCAGTAGAGATTTCAATTGGTCCATAAAAAGTCCAAAGTTCATCCATTAGATTCATAGTTTATTCATTTACGATCCATAATTCATCCATAATTCATCCATAAATGTTCATTAATGGACAACTTATGGATGTCTATTGGAGTTGCAAATGGATGTACAATGGACGTTCTTTGTACGTCAGCTGCAACTGATATGGACGTTCGATGTATGTACACAATATCCGGCATGGATGTTCAATGTACGTACATAGGACGTACTTGTGTTTATTGGGAAGTAAGCTGTATGCTACCCTATATCCGAATCAGCGTTATCCAAATCCGAATGTATTATGACCGATGACGTATTTCGCGCACGTTAAAGGATGGCGCTACGGTAGGCGGGTCAGATCATCGACTCGATGGTAGTTCGATAAGTTGTCTGTACGATTGAAAATATACGTCGTTATATATAAGCACATATTAAAGCCTATGACACAATGTCAGGCAACAGGCAACAGGAACAGGGAATAGAATTTCTGACGCGTTGGATTGGTTGGAAGAAAATTTTCGACGAATCCAACGCGTCAAAAATTCTATTCCCTGTTCCTATTGCCTGTTGCCTGGCATTGTGTGATAGGCTTAAGAGTTCCTTCCTTTCCAAGCGAAGCCTTACCAGACACCTCGAATCATGGACCTAAGAATCTCTGGACCGAGCACGAAGTGGGAGAACGGGCAAGGGGGCTGGCAAATTTGCGGTAAGGGGGGGGCGAGAGTGCTCTCCTTTTCTGTCCTCTTGGTATCTCATGGTATCTCTTTCTACAAGAGGTCACTGTGACCTCTTGTAGAAAGAGAGGTCCAAGAGGACAGAAAAGGAGAGCACTCTCGCCCCCCTTACCGCAAATTTGCCAGCCCCCTCGCCGTATGCTCGGTCCAGAGATTCTTAGGTCCATGCCTCGAATAGACACGACAAATTGGCGACGAGGTAGAAAAATCCATCAACACAGTAAATCTTGTTTGTCAAGAACAATAGAAAGGTTGGTACTTAACCTAAAACCGAATCAACGGGTTAATCGTTAAGGAAATTCTAACTCAATCAGCAACTAAGATGGATCCACAACAATTTGCTCAATTCACGAGTTTTCAAAAAACAATGCTCGAAAAATTAGTGACACAAAGTCAGACACCACAAGTGAGTATAGCGGCTCAAGGGAATGCATTCAATACGGCATTACTACCCAATTTCGAATGTTTCGATGCGAAGAAAGAGTCATTCCGGAATTATAAACAACGGTTTGAAAATTATCTCGAAATGAAAAACATTATTAACAACAAGGAATATTGCACAAAATTATTACTTAACTCAATCGGCGCAAAGAATTTTAACATGATTGCAGCTCTCGCGGCACCAAAGACACCCAGCGAGTTAACAGATGAGGAATTAATGAGTCTATTAGAGAAGCATTTAGCGCCCAAAAGGAACATCCTGGTGGCTCAACATCAATTTCTCTCCAAATATCAATCATGCAGAACAACAATCAATTGCTGATTATGTGGCAGCGTTAAGAAGCGACATCGGAGACTGTGAGTTCATCTGTAGTTGTAAGAAATCTATTGCTGATATTTTTCTTCGAGCACAATTTATCCGGGGAATTCGAGACAATAGCATTAGAGAACAACTACTACAATGTCAAATATCAGCTTTTAATGAAATTGTAGCCAAAGCTATCGCACTCGAAACTTCAAAAATCGACTCAAAAGAATTAGCACAGAAAGCGTCAACTTCAACGCCATCCACGGATATTAACAAAGTTACGAGGCATTCAAGGAAGAACGATTATCAACAGAGAAATCGTAATCGATCCCAGCAACGTTCATCGAAAAACCCAACAAAAGCTAAAGGACAGTCAAAATCGAAAATCGATTACGTGGAATTAGGCATTGAAGGACTATGTCTCAGATGCGGAAGAGATAATCATTTAACAAAAGACTGCAGAACAGACAGATCTAATCTCAAATGCTCCGGTTGTGATAAAAGTGGTCACATAATAAAGGTATATGTATCCGTTCATTACTCGACAAGAAGTCTAAACAAGATAAAACTTCAACCAAACAAATTCAAGACGAAACTACTTATAATCAATACGGAATACAGCGTATAGTCGATATTTACCAGAATCACCAGCCCTCAACAAAAGAGATTAAGCGTTATTACACGCATGTCAACATAGAAGGAAAAACTGTCGAATTTGAAATCGACTCTGGCTCAGGATATACTTTCCTACCAAGAAATGTATTCACCAAGTTGAATCTGAAGACGCCTTTACTCCCAACGTCGATAGGGTTTCGATCATATACACAGAATGTATTTACTCCCGATGGAAAAATTAGAGTGAATGTCAACTACAAAGGGAAATCGATACAAGAGGAAATCTACATCGTACCGGAAGGATACACAGCTTTATTGGGCCGAATCTGGATTCGACGACTAAAAATTGACTTGAATGAGATCGATCGACAACACTCAACTACTTCATCGATACTCGCAATCAATACCAATGAAATTGAGGAGATTACGACTAAATACCCAGATGTCTTCGAAGAAAAAATTGGCTGTGTCCCTAAATTCAAAGTATCATTAAAATTGCGAAGTAATACAACACCAGTTTTCAACCGAGAACGTGAAATTCCATACGCACTACAGAGCCGAGTTGAAAATGAACTAAACACACTCGAATCTACAGGAATTATCACGAAGACAGAAACAAGCGACTGGGGATCACCATTGGTAGTCATTCCCAAAGCCGATGGAGGTGTACGCTTATGTGTCGACTATAAAATAGGAGTGAATGATCGTCTTATAAATGCACACTACCCAATCCGGAAGATAGACGATATTCTCAACAGTTTACGTAGTTCTCGCTACTTTTGCTGGCTGGATCTATTCAAGGCGTATTTACACATCCCAGTCGACGATCAATCCAGCGAAATCCAAACTATTTCGACACATCGAGGCACTTATCGTATGAACCGGCTATCGTTCGGGATAAAAACGGCTCCTGCAGAATTCAACCGAATCTTACAATTAGATCAAATCCTGCGTGAAGTTCCAAATACTGAATCTTACTTT